CTCTCTCTCTCTCTCTCTCTCTCTCTCTCTCTCTCTGCATATTTACAAATTTATGTTAAATATACTAAACTTTTTGTTAAATAGGAGTTAGCGATGAGTTAATAGCAAAAGTAAAAACTGTGACTCAGGAGTACGAGCTGACCAAAGCGGGCGATGTCTACACCCAGACATTGTCGGGAAACAATGCCACTGCAGTTAAGTTTGAATTGGGCAAAGAGTTTGATGAGATCAGACCAGATGGTAAATCTGTTAAGGTATGCATCATGCAACTTACTTTTATGCCTAGTTATATGCTGTTAATTGAGTGTGGTTGTTTGTAATAGAGTTTGGTGGTCGCTGATGGCAATAAATTGATCCAGACACAAAAGGGCGACCAAGAGATTAAGTACGTGCGTGAGTTTAATGGCACCGAACTGAAAACTACTATCACGTACGGTCCAGTCGTCGCTGTCCGCGTGTACAACAAGGTTTAATAGACAGAATAATCTTGGTGGTTGTTTTTTTATTTTGACAATATTTTGTATTAATTATTTTAATTATAATTTTTCTCAAATGAATCTGAAATAAAATCTCTGGTGTTTTTTATATTAAATGTGAATTAAAACTTTATTTTTATTGATAACTTGTATAATTAATACAATATCATAAATAGTCTAGTTAAATTATATATTAAATAGTGTTTTTAAAACAGTGATAAATAACTTTTTGTCACAATGTTTCAATTTTGGAAATAATGTAATTAAAATACCGTTATATTTAACACAAAATTTAGACATACATGTCATATAATTAATAAATAAATGTTTTAAAAACGGATAAGATTCTTATTTCTAAAATTAATTGTAAAATAAACAAATTAAAATTTATTTTATCAAAGAATTATAATTTTATATAAATAATAAAATTTTTAATAAAATTGAATTTTATCGGTTAGATAACATTCATGAATTTATAATAAATATTTTAATTAAATATTATAAATAATTAAAATGTGTTTAAAAATTCCTAACCGATGAATACATGTATTAAAAAGAAATGTTAAAAACAATTAAAATTAAAAACATTTATTTTATTTGTTTTATTATAAATGAATACAATATTAAAGATAACAGACATGTCTGTTAACACTATCCCAATATTATATTATAATTACAATTAATTAATACACTTATATTAGACAATTGAAATATCGTATAAAGTGTGTACGCTATCTAAAAAGTTATATTTTTAATTATATAATAATAATTTTTTTTTACAAAAGCGTTTAATTAATAAATATTTATCTTTAACTGTCATCAAGTTTGGCGCCAAATATATACTGTATTATCGCTATTTTTGTACTCAAAGTACACATTAATTGTATAGAGTGTACACTATGTAGAGTAGACAGTAGTCTAATTTTATTATCTGATTGGCAGTGAAATTGTTGCCTAAAAATACTGTTTAAATAGCATTTCAATAAATATTTACTGTTTTTAACAATGAGTTTTATTGTATTATTTATATGAATGTAAACTATTGAAAGTATATATTAAAAAATATAGTAAAATATTAAAATACATAATAAATAAATAATTTAATTAAAATAAGTTAAAATAATTATATATTTTTTTATATTATAATTATTATTATTTAATATATTTTACAAAATCACGAATCATGTGCTATGTGTCAAAATTAAATAAATTAAACATTTAAAAATATTTTGTGCATATTTGTTTTATGATTCATCAGGGCACATTATAAATACAAATTTAAATGTACTTTAAATTAATACAATGTAATTAAATAAATACACAATACAAAATCATGTTTTTAAATTTTTAAATTTTATAAAAGTAACTTGCGTTTTAAATTTAATTAAATAATAAATAACAACTAAATGTTTTTAAAATTAAAACTTTTATTAAACAGACAATTCTTCTAGGACAATTTTCTATTCAATAGTACACTAATTATTTAGAAATATCACATAAATCGTGTTTTATGAATACATGACATGATAAATTTGAAAGATTTTTTAATGCAAATAACTTAATGTACTCACATCGGGTAGAAAGTATGAAATAAATAAACAGTATAGTATAGTGTAGTTTAATTAAATTAATAATAATAATATTGTTGGAAACTAATGTCTAGTCAGCTCATGATAAAATACCTCTATTTTCTTATAGGGGTAACCATAAGGGTAGGGTTTGTTTGAGTTAGACTTAAATGGTTAAATCATAACTTGGTAAATTAATGTTGATCAAATAAAATAGTTGACCAGCTTAATTATTTTATTAATTTTTGCAATTTAAATAAATCAGAAAATAAAATACCACAAAGAATTTATAAATAATGAATTACCTGGTTCAAAACTGCATAAACTAAATAAAACAATGTAGTGCGTTTATAGCACATTGAACAATAGAATTAATTGTTTAAATTAAATGAAATCTACAAAAATGCATACGTGTAAGAAAATCATAAATTTTATATGACCCAACTCTGGTCTAAAATACACACCCATTACTAGTGATAGTGGTGTGAATTAATTCATGGTTAGATTTCTGTGTTAGTCACAGACGACCAGTATTTAAACCGATTGATACCGAAAGTAGTTTGTTGTCGAGTAAAACATTTTGTGCATTGAATTAGCAGTTCTGTCGCTATAATAAAGTATAGTATTTTTTGTTTAAAAATTTATTTTAATTGAATTTTAGCTTAAATTATGTGTTTAATTATATTGTATTAATTTATATTTTTAAGCTAAAACAACACAATGACTGACTATACGGGAAATTTTAAATTAGTCTCATCCGAGAACTTTGATGCTCTCCTTAGAGAGCTAGGTTAGTTTTTATTATTTCATTATTAATTAATAATTTACTATATTGATAATATAAACTTAATTGATAAAGACACTTGATCAATATTTATTTAATGATTGATCCGTAAGAAGTTTCCATAAAATAGGCAAATGTACTCAATTTATTTATTTTAATCATTTTTATTAGTAATCGTTTATATATTTTATATTCAAACAAAGTGTTTGACGTTAATTATATTTATTTATAAATTCCTGTCAACTAATTGAATGATGATTCAAATGAATGCAATTTACAAACAAAAAATTATTTTTTACAAATTCTAAACAACTACTTAAATGCTTCTCTCTCTCTCTCTCTCTCTCTCTCTCTCTCTCTCTCTCGATATGTGATAAAACAATTTTATGACATAAACGTTGATAAAACTAGATTATTATAACCGTCATATAATGCACACCCATTCACATCAATGTCCTTTTTGACATTGAAATGCTGTTTTAATATACATTTTATTATCATTTGTTGTGAGAAACAGATATATTTGTCAGAATATAGACTACATTTATATAAAGTATAAATAATTATTATACTTATAGAGTAATTAAATTGTATTTTAATTTAGTATTTTACAGTATATAATATTACGTTAAGAAGTTATAAAATAATTTTATTAAACAATACTTAAACATTTGATATTTAATTTTATAGCTAGAATTCAGTGCAATAAGTCAATAAGGCTTATTTAATAAAATGCTTATACCACCTTGATAAGATATACTTTAATATAATTACTATTACACACATTATGTAAATAGCATATACCTGTAAATTAATATAATTTTAATTTAAAATAAAAATTTGCTCTATAATAATTAACAAATAACGTTTAAATTAGTTGGTTTGTTAGATCCCACACAATTAATAGCTATATTCATATTAACCATGATTAAATAAAAATGAATGCATTAAACTCTAGGTGTGAGCGAAGAGGTGGTAAAGTCAGTGCAAAACACAACTCAGGAGTTGGAGATCACAAAAGCCGGTGATGTCTACACATCGAAGACAATCTCTCCGAACAGAACCCATGAGATTAAGTTTGAATTGGGAAAGGAGTTTGACGAACCCCGACCCGATGGCAAAACTGTTAAGGTAACTTCTTTACTAAATGATAGCGCATACTTTATATAATATGTATTACGTAACTAGTTAATTTAGAATATTATCACTTTATGAAAGTGGGACCATGTAAATTTATTTCTTATTAATAGTTAATTTTGCTGTTTTTACATCTATATCAAATGTATAAAATTACTGTTTTAAAACATTGTTAATTGATTATGTCGATTTACTGTATTTATAACGCTATAGTCAGTGGTGGTGGCGGACGGCAATCGACTCGTCCAGACCTCAAAGAGCGACAAAGAGGTGAAAGTTGTGCGCGAATACAACGGCAATGAGCTTCGGGTGACCGTAACCGCCGGCCCGGTTGTGGCCGTCCGGACGTACGCCAAACAATAGACACTAAATGTTTTACCCGACACTCTATTCAAACTGATTGCTATTTCTTGCATATATTAATAATAATTATTATTATATTATTTTATTATGATTTTAAATCTCAGACTATTATACAAACATAAAAATTGTAACAGAATTTATGCATAAATAGCGAAATAAAAAAGTTTCCTTTTGAATTGTGCTGTATGTTATTTATTTTATTTTTATTTTAAAATTAAATTATTAATTTATAATAAATTTTAATTTAAGTTTTACTAATTTTATCATTCATTTATTAATTATAAAAATATTTCCAAAAATTCTAGTCTAGACAAATAAAATGAGTGAGCCGGCATTATTGGATCCGTGTCAATCATGCAATATTTATACGCTGATTGTTTTTTATAATTGAAATAATGGTGAATGATTATTAACAAACAAAAATTATGAATCACCCGGATTGAATAATTCAGTTTGTACTGCAAGTACTGTTATACTAATGGTAAATTAAATTGCTACAATCAATCATGGCTCATACCTGTACTTTACACAAATGTACGGGTAGTATCAGGTACTGTGGGATACTGTACAGTGCTATGTAGTGTGCATAGAATGTTATGTTTAGTATACAAAATAATATACATGTAAATTCCGTTATTATTCACCTTGTATATTACACTTACATAATATACAATCTGCATATGCCAAAACCCGTACACTAATGTAGCGGTTAATTATAACGAATATTCGCAGCTTTATGATAATCAAACAATGATGCCGATCATAATGACATAGTGCATGTATGTAGATAATTACAATTGCATTTACATTTACCTTGTATTTCCTGGTATTAAAAAATTTATTTGAAATTGTATTTCAATTAATTACGGTAAATATTTACAAATTAAATAGCAATATAAGCTGTAAATATATTGATTGTTAATATCATTCATGAATTGTGATTGATAAATATTTGCGGTAAATACTTTTGTGAGTTTTACCTTGTTATCAATGTTAAGTGTTCAGGAAATAGAGTTTGTATTTGTAATAATTTTTTTTATTGCAGAATCACAAAATTTATTTCAGTAAATGATTAATAAAACTTGAAAATTGCATCTAATTTGACAATTCTTTAGCAATAAATCGGTGTAAATGTATTACAAACATGACAATAGTATTTATTCACACTCTAAACAACCCTGGTTTTGTTAATCTTTCATTAACAGTGTTTATGCTAATTTTGCATTTATAATTATAACATGATAATATAAAATGTTAACCAATATGACCAATAATTGTATTCTTGCTAAATCAATTATACAAAAATCTAATAAATAAATATCAAGTTAATATTAAATATTTAGTAATTGTATAAAATACATTTTATTAGTACAAATAGTTTTAAAAGTACATATTAATTGATAAACTAAATATCGTTTTTTTAAATCTATTGTTACAAATTATATTAGACACATAATTTTTACTAACTATAACTTAACGTATAGGTAGGACTTATAAGTTAGCAGTTGTCTCAAAACAAATGTCCTAACCAAACCTATTCAAAATTGGTAAATTAATGCTACAATAAATAGAAAAACCAGGGTAATCCCACTAATTAAATAAATTTTATAATAACTATATTGTGTACACTATTACCGTAACAAAATAATTTTCAAAACACTATATCTAAAGTTTTATAAATGAATATAAAATAAATATTAAAAAATATTTTATTTTTGAACATCATACATTCAAATGTATTTTTGATTAAATTTTTAATTGAATCACTTGATCGAGGTTCAATTATAATTACGTACAAACGAACCTTGACCATAATTAATTATCCGCCTGAGTACAGAGAAGTTAAGGTGATGCAATCTATTTAAATCTTGATTAAATATTGCACAATGTACAATCTACATTATCAAATGTATGTAAAGGTATCATAGCTATTTCACTGTCTGGCATACAATAACAAGTTATTTATAATGATTTACAACGAACTAGACTTTCTATGCTTTTGTAATCGATAAATTACATAACGGTTCTTTATAATGATACAGTACAGGGTGTACATTAATCTACTATAACATTTCAAAGTCGAATATCTCGAAAGGTATTCGGTCTAGAAAATTAAATAATATATCAAAATAATCACCAACTGCGGGAGTTTTTGTTATGATATGGTCAATATGCTTGACCTCTTATTATAGAAGTAATCTCAAAACTACCAAATTTTTGCTATTTTGTCCATAGTCTAGCGAATGGTCCATTTTCACAATAATATAGTCACGTGACCAAAAATATTTGTATGTGCAAATAATTTCCGGCCATGGAACTATGCGTGAAGTGAAAATATTGTCACTTCAGCTGTTCCTAAATGGTGATCAAAATCCGACACGCAAAAGTTTTGAAGCAACTAAATATATCTGAAATATTGAAAAATCATTAATTAACTAAAAACTACATGCAGCACAATAATTTTGATTACAAATTCTTAAACAGGAGCAAAAATAACTTGATACCTATTTCAGGATTTTGCTCAAAAATAAGTTTGAATTTAACATTATGTCTATGGACAAAATGGCAAAAATTTGGTAGTTTTGAGATTACTTCTATAATAAGAGGTCAAGCATATTGACCATATTATAACAAAAACTCCCGCAGTTGATGATTAAATTTATATATCATTTAATTTTCTAAACCGAATACCTTTCGAGATATTCAACTTTGAAATGTTATAGTAGAATAATGTACACCCGATATTACTGTATAACGTGACAAATGATTAAACATGTTTTGCATATGATTCATATGATATTCATGATATTCATCAAATTTTTGATTAATTGTAAAATTGACTGTATTTTGGCTCCACTTTTTAAGAAAGTTGTGTCACTTTGAAAAAGTTGTTTCCGACTAATAATCACTTTTTCATATAATTTTGTGCAATCATTCATTCACTCATTTAATTGTTTGAGTTGAGTGTGAATAACAAAAATTAATTTTAATTTGCAATCCTTTGTTTGACACGAGAGGCAAACTATTTGAATACAACGATTAAGTGGCGCTCAAAATCACTGACTCTTGTGGCCATCAGTTTGTGATTTTCAACGACCTCTCAAAATGTACGACCCGTCAGGAGGACAGGCATCGGACGGATCCCAAGTCAATCAAACGCCAACACCGGGAGGGAGTGTTCGGCGTTTCCGGTCGTTGAGTGCGTCCAGAAGTCAGTCATCATTTGCAGGTCAACCGCGAGAAAGACAGGGCGCGAGATCTGCGCCGCCGGTGATCCCATATCGGGCCCCACCGGTGACCGCAGCCGCACCGCCGCCGCCGTTCCCGCCACCAGAGTTTGATTACACGAGCGATTCTCCCGATGGATACTACGGTCGGCCATACTTTATGACCGAAGAGGAAAGACAGGCAGACCTTGAATACAGTCATTACTATTTTATGAATTTGCCGGAAGAGCTCAAACAGGCCAACCCTGAGCTGCCCGGAGGCGGCTTTCCGATACCGCCGCGGATGAACGCCCCGTCAATTGCCGATCCCGTCAACCCTCCGCTCAACATTCCTCCCCCGCAGACACCCTTTTACCACAGAAGACGACCAAATCATTCCCTCCCATAAGTTATTACAATAAAACCCAATTAAAAGTCATTTAAATTCAATATAAATTGTAATTTCTTTTGAAATATACCGTAAAATTACATTAAATATGAAAACGAGATAATTATTAACTAATTGTTGAGAACATACAGTAGTGACTACTGAGTAGTCAATAGTATTGAGTTTAATGAGTATTTAATGATGAATTGTTTTTAAACTGTTTGTTAAATAATACTTTATGATTGAGTTTACGTATAATAAGTTAGTGTTGAGTGAAAAAGTTGTCGAGAAATTAATTCTACACAAAGAATTAATTCAAGGATTCTGTATTTACATTATAAAATGACCAAAGTTTTGGCATGTGTTCAGTTGTCATAATAGAAATTATTTCTAATAGAAATTAGAATTATTAGAAATATTAGAAATAGACGTACAGTCAGTTCAGTCATGTATTTCTATGAGAGACTTGAAGTTTTTATAACTCATATAACAGTCTATTAATGGTTAAAATTGAATGAAGATTGAAATAAAATTGAGTCTCTTGTAAGAATACATGACTGCACTTATGTCTGTCTTATAAATGACAATTCAATTGTTAAGGCGATATAATGTGATATAAACGAGCGTTTATTAAGTTTTGATTGTTTGAATTTTGAATGAATTTGTGCTCACATTTGACAGTTTGGCCACAAGTTGTGAATCGTATCCAAAAGCCATGTATGGGAGCAACGGATCCAATTGGGTATTACAACTACAGCACATGTGTTAAGCATATGCTAAGCATCACTTTCTTTAGGCGCAACAGAGATCCGGTCGTTTAGGAGGTATATCAAGACGTGATCCAAACGACACGATCACAACTCCATATTACGATCAGTTGCCCGAAGAGTTCAAGAGAGCGCATCCCATCGAACCGGGCGGAGGCATCAAAGCGCCGCCCAGAATGGGTGCACCGGTCATACTCGATGACAGGCGACCCACTCGTGCCGCTGTACAGGGCTTTAAGCGCCGCCGGAGTTGTCCGCCAATGTTTTCTTCATCGGAAGGCCAGACCTGTCAGTCAACGTGTTCTTCATTGGGAAGCCGGGCGTTAAACCCGAGAACAAAGAGTGCGTTTTGTGGATACAACAGAAGTGAGCCGATGGCGTCCACCCGTCGGGTCAGCGGCTATTCAACGGCGAGACAGCCCTACACCGGTCCCACCCCTGAAGAACTCGAAGCCGATCGAAAAGCGTCTCTGGCCTACACTCATGAGCTGTATATGAGAAAACCCGAATGGTTGAAACGCATGAACCCGGAGCTGCCCGGCGGGGGCTATCCTGTGCCGCCCCGTCTCAACGCTCCGATCCCTCGCAATGACGTACCGAAGAGTCAGGTCTCGCGCGAAGAGTATCAGCGAAGTCTACGTCAAAGAAGCTCTCAGTTTCCGTCACAGACGCACCGCCAGAGAAGTGTCCGACAAATGCGCTCTCAGTCTCTGCCAATTATGAGAAGATTTTGAACAAAAAAAGTTTGCATTGTTTTTATTGGCCAAAAAATATTTATTAAATGAAAAAATACATTATTTCTATTGTGCGAAATGTCTTAACATTGATTTATATATAACACACGTATTAAAAGATTTGAAAAATCGTAAATATTTTAATATCATTGATAATGAAAATAATGATTGGGTGAATGAAAACGATGTAAAAATGTGTCAAATATTTTGTTCATTGTTAACAACAAATATAGTCTTTTCAACAAAAAATCACAGGAATTGCAATAAGTTATGATATAAATAGGCGTTTCGTTCCGGTTTTTAATGGACAGAACTTTGGACGTTATATAAGTCATAATAAGCGCCTCTTTTGGCGATCAACTCGTGATGACTGCCCTCTTCGACAACCTTTCCTTTATTGACGACAACTATTTTGTCGGCGTTGTGTATAGTCGACAGTCTGTGAGCGATCACAATACAGGTCCTGCCCTCCCGGGCCTCGTCCAGAGCGTCCTGTACTACCTGTTAAGTTGAACCTTTCCTTTATTGACGACAACTATTTTGTCGGCGTTGTGTATAGTCGACAGTCTGTGAGCGATCACAATACAGGTCCTGCCCTCCCGGGCCTCGTCCAGAGCGTCCTGTACTACCTGTTAAGTTGACATTCAGTGTTAGATACAAATACAGTATTACTGTATATAAATATACTAAATGAGGACAAACCTTTTCGCTCTCGGCGTCGAGAGCACTGGTGGCCTCGTCTAGTAGTAGTATTTCCGGGTCGCGGATCAGCGCCCGGGCGATGGCTATCCTCTGCTTCTGACCGCCACTAAGTTGTGTCCCTTTATCGCCGACGGGTGTGTCGTAACCCATTGGCAGTGACTTTATAAATGAGTGAATGTTTGCCTTCTCTGAAGCCCTTATGATCTCATTTAACTCCACTTTGCGATCGTTGTCTCCGTACGCGATATTCTCGGCTATACTGTAGCCAAAGAGCACCGGCTCTTGGGATACAATTCCCAACTTTCGTCGAAGCCATGGAATATTCAGATTTACGATATTATTGTTATCCAAACTCTGGCAATAAATTTTCTCATTAATTAAATACATTATTATAAACACTAAAGCATTGAAACAATTTTATGAATATTTAAATGCTTACAACTTCTCCGCCGTCGGTGTCATAGAATCGTTGTATGAGTTGAATGATTGTACTCTTCCCGCAACCACTCGAGCCCACCAGAGCTACTGTCTGTCCCTTTTGCACATCAAAGCTAAGGCCTCGCAATACCTTCACATTAGGTCGGGTCGGGTAAGTAAACTGCAAATCATTGAATCTAAAGTTTCCCTCGCATTTTGTCGGCTTATCTCCCGTTAAAGCATTGACCAGTATTTTAGGCATTCTGTCCAACAGTTTGAATATATGAACGGCAGCTACTCTGCCCGTTTGGTAGTCCGATGCGAATGCTATACATAGGATTGGAATAAAAATTGTTTAATTTTGCCTGAAAAATCCATAACATATTGACTATCACTTACCCACTGCTTGGCCAACCGTTGCTGTGCCTAATATGACGGCTTGCATACTCCTGATAAATTGTTATAACAAGTGTTAATCTCTATGTGATAATCGTTTATTAATAAAACATACTTAAAGAGATCGCCGTAATTGAGTTCCTGATCGACAATAAGTTTACTGCCGTAGAGAAGAGCGATAGCATAGGAAAAGTTACCCATACTTTGGGCGATACCAAAGGTTATGCCTTTGAGATGTGCCCGGATTTTGGACTTTTTAAATTGTTTTTCCAAAGCATTGCTATAATTATCTATAAAAGCGTTTTCCTGATGAAGAGATGCAACCGTTCGGATACTACTGATGGCTTCCACAGCAATCTATTCCAACCATAAGAAAATATCTGTTACAAAACTTATGTTATGTTTTTTTTAATCACTGACCGATGAGGCGTCTTCGCGTGACTTTTTATCTTTAGTGATTTGTCCGCTAATTATTTTCATTTGGAAATAAGTGGAAGCGATCACCAAAGGTATGAAACAGATTATAACGAGTCCTAACTTCCAGCTGTAGTACAGCGCCAGTACAACACCGGCGCCCAAAGTGGACACCGCCTGACAGAGAGTCGATAATCGGGAACCGGCGGCCTATCAGGCAATACAATAATTAATATCAATGTATTTTAAGAAAGTGCACCAAATAAAGTATTCGGGGAGAGACTTACGCCCTGAACGCTGGACGCATCTGATGATAATCTAGAACAAAGAGCACCCGTACTGTTGTCGCGTTCATCAAACCAGGCGACCTCTTGTTTCAACATCGCTGTGAACACCCCTTTTCTGAGTCTCATTGTTAACCGTTCAGCGCAAAGACCAAACATATAAATCTGTTCATTAAATTACAATAATTTATTAGTAATTAATAATTACATAACATTAATGTGAATACTTGTAAGAATGATGCGATTCCTGCGATAATACCCATCGCTACAAAAAGCATTGAATACAAGAGCACATCCTTCTGGATCTTATCGGTTGAGCCCTGAGATAGTGTTCCGAGGATTTCGCCAAAAATGAACGAAAAGGCGGGTATTGTAAGACCCATAAGGAATGCCATAACACTTCCCAATAATATGAGATATTTATCCGGTTTTAATAAACCAAACAATCGGACCAATGAGGGCGACTCCTTCTTCTCTTTGATGGCAACACTTGATTTCCGGCGCAGATCTATGTCTTCACTCCGACGGCTCTCAACACTGAAGGCGCGGATGAGCTCTGGCTTAACGACTCCGTTGGTCACTACCGTCGCATCCGCTTCGGTCTCAATCGTCTCGTTCTCGTCTTCTTTTTGTTGTTGTCTTTTAACCAAATTATAATACAAGCCTTCGGTAACCATGAGTTCCGCATGACTGCCCACTTCATCCACTTTACCGCCGTTTATCACAAATATCTTATCCGCATATCTAATGGTCGACAGTCTGTGAGCGACAATGAAAGTGGTTCTCCCAATACTGGCCCTATCGAGTGCCGCCTGAACTATGGACTCGCTTTGCGTATCCAAAGCACTGGTAGATTCGTCCAGAAGTAATATTTTTGAGTCGACAGTCTGTGGGCGACAATGAAAGTGGTTCTCCCAATACTGGCCCTATCGAGTGCCGCCTGAACTATGGACTCGCTTTGCGTATCCAAAGCACTGGTAGATTCGTCCAGAAGTAATATTTTTGGTTTTCTCACTAAAGCTCTGGCGATGGCTATCCGTTGCTTCTGACCGCCGGACAGTTGCGATCCTCTTTCGCCGACCAGAGTCTGAAACTTTTGAGGCAATCGTTGTATGAAATCAAAGGCATTGGCGTCGACTGCGGCCGACTCTATGTCCTGTTGATTGGCTCGACTGTAACCCAGTCTTATATTCTCGGCTATTGAACAGCCGAAGAGAACCGGTTCCTGACCCACGACTCCGATGTGATCCCTAAGCCATCCGATGTTTAAACTTTTGATATCTTTGCCGTCGATTAACACTTGTCCGTCACTCACGTCATAGAATCGTTGAATGAGTTGAATGACTGTACTCTTACCGCAACCACTCGGGCCGACCAGAGCCACAGTCTGTCCGGGCTCTACCGATAGGCTCAGACCGTTAAGTACCGGGACATCAGTCCTCGCGGGGTAAGTGAAGTGTGCGTTCCTTATCTCTACCTTTCCTTTCAGGTCTTTAATCCGATCTCCGGTTTCAGAACTGCTGTCAATCTCTGGTTTGCGTTCAATCACTTCAAATATAAGAGCGGCCGCACCTCTCGCCTGAGCAAAGGCCTCGAAATAGGGTGTTGTCTGACCGATGCTCATTGTGCCCATCATTACTGTTGTGAATACTATTAACAAAGTGCTCGCTTCATATGTATGTATATTCTCCTCAACCGATCGCACAATCAGTTTGACGCCATACCAAAAGGCCAGACCATAACTGCTATACATAAATAACCACATTATTCCCATTCCTAGACCAGTGAATAGTGTCCGCCGGACTCCGCTTTTCTTCGCCGGCTCTAAATTCTTGTCGTATCTGAGGATCTCTTTGTGCTGTCCATCGAATGCATAGACAGTCCTAATGGCTCCCAACACTTCTTCAGCCACAGCACCCGCTTTGCCATAAGAATCCGCTTCTGTGGTTGAATAGCGCGCCTGAATCTGTATTTGGTTCATAAATATTAGCTTGATTAATTAATCTACTTTTAGATAAACTTTTTAAAATTCATTGAATTAAACAAACCTTTGCTATAATACTGAATGAAATGACGAGGACTGGTGTGACGGACAGTATAACTAACGTTAGTTCCCATCCGTAATAGAAAGCGGTTCCCAACGAACATAAGACCGACGAGAATGAGAATATACAGAGAGCCACCTAAATGATCATGTTATTTATCAAAATAATTAATTATGGCTTATTTAGAGTTATAAATTAAAGTCTATGTATTGTAACTTATTTAATAATGTTTTTAATCTTTTTATAAAAATAGACAAAATTCTTGTTATAAAAAGTTCATCTTATTAATGGTTACAAATTATTTTAAACTAATAACTAATCAGACAAATGAGTTAATACAAACCTTATCTCCGACTCCCTCTTGAATTTTATCCAAATCACTAATAAAACGACAAATAAAACATTAATTAATTAATTATATTTTATTAATACTGTGTAATTTATAATATTATAGTATTACAACACAGTACTGCAGTGTAATACAAATATTACTATACTGCAAATCTAATGAAAACATACGCGGTCACTTTGGTGGCGAAATCTCCCGATGTCTTTGTGTCAAACCAACTGATATCTTGTCTAAGAATAGATCTGAAGAATAATATCCGTATGCGTTGTGTCTGATTGTTGGCCGCAGTGCTGAACGTCGAGACCATTACATAACCGCAGAGTAGAAAAGCTAAGCCAATGCCTAACATCATATAACTCCAAAAGTAGGCATCGGTTATGAAAGCGTCCTCAAAGTCTTTGTGATGAAAAAATACGGTCCGATTGAGTGCTTCGGCGAATGAATCGTTTGACAATTTGAGCCGAATCTGAATCACTTCCAAATCCATGAGTGGAAACCCTCTGAATATAATATTAGTGTCGAGGAATTGTGTTTTGTTGGTCTCTGGTATATGTGTCAGATTCTTTTCGTAAAAGTCTCCGGTTTTCCATTTGTATAACTGATTGTATAACTCGTACTCAACAAAAGTATCAGTCATTTCTCCCATGAAGATCGTAATGGCCGGCAGTCCTGAGCCCATTGCCAGCGAGAATATTATACCCATAAACATTAGTATTTTGTCAAAACCAGAAGAATAGGTAAACTATTTGTACATAAAATAAATTAAGTTAATTTACATTAAAAATACATTAAGAAAATTAATTTTTATAAATTAGACTTAAATAAATAATATTAATTTAAAACTGTAATAACACTTCTTTGTCAGTAACAAGAATTTAAATTATTATTTTTAATTTTATTTAGTATAAAAATATTGTTAATATATTCCAAGATTTAAAACAAAATAACAAAAAAAACAAGATAAAACAGAATACAGAATAATAGTAATGAATAAATTCTTCAAAACAAACCATTTTGAAGAAACCGATCGGCTCTCTCTTCTCTTCCCCATCTTCTGCCTCTTTTTCATTATTTTTGTCTTTTTTCTTATCACTGAAAATACAAATAAATCAACAATTTGTTTATTTCACCAAAAAAATTATATTCATTGCATTGAATGTTGCATAATAAATACAAGTGATAAATACTGACCCATCGGGTTTATCAATCCCATTGGGCTCATTACTACTCGTCTTATAAGTCATTATATAACGACACG